GTGGCACTCGGCAAAGAATTAAAAAAAATTAAAAAAATACTTTGCCGAGTGCCAGATCGAGGGCACTCGGCAAAGGGGGGATTTAACCCCGCCGGCCCAGCCGGCCCACACACACTGCACACACGCACACACGCACGGAGGCAGCTGACCGCGCCAGCGCCGCCGGAGGAGGAGGAGAAAGAGAGGAGAGGAGGAAGAGAAGGAGGAGGAGGAGGAAGAAGGAGGAAGGAGGAAGGAGGAGGAGGAGGAGGAGGAGGCCGGCGCCGTCGCAACGTCCCCGGCGCTTCGCCGTCGCCTTGTCCACCGGCGCCCTGGCCCCTTCACCACCGCCGCCCTACGACGCTCACTAGGTATGCCTTACCATCGTCGTCTTCGTAGTATTACTAGTAGTTCCGCCACCTAGTACTGTATAATAATTGTCATGTGTCCTGTAATAATGTTTTTGCATTCCCCAAGTACTGTATAATAATTGGTTGTGGATTATATGAAAACTGAAACATTTGTGGACAACTTCTGAAGCTAACCAGATTTGAAAATTTAAATTTTTTCAAATATTTCTGAAGCTAATCAGTAAGCTCTAGCAGCAGACCAGATGACACCCGAAAGACCTGAAGGAGATCTGCTTGACCAGTAGCAGAGCTCAAAGAGAAATTGCAGCACCGGTAAACAGCTTTCCTTTAGGGCGTGGTGGCACCTGCACCGCATGCCTCCCTCCCTCATCCTGTTCACCTTCCTGATGGCACCACACCACCATTCCCGGGGTGCACGATCGAATGCTTGATGCAACTGATGTTGATGCTCCCTTCTCTCCCTGTCCCCAGGTCTCACCTGGCCCGCCAGAGCAGCTGGGACACGGTCTACTCTGGTCCTGGATTTCAAGGTCAGGACTCCCACAGAATCCTCTCCCCTTCCCTCGTTGCGTAGCTCTTTAAAATTTTACCTCGTGTCCAGCACTTGGAAATAGAAGCTCAATTACATGTAGTTTCAGTTTCAAATTGAGCTTCCCTTACATTCTACAGATGCCAATGGAAGCTCCTCGATGTATATTGTGTGAGATTAATAAGGCCACCTGAATCAAGAAGACTGATTACATGCTCAAAGGGACTAGTAAACCAGAGAGTTCACATATGCACCATGATCACAGCAAAAAGAAATGCGGCTTGCACTTCTTGCTGAACAGGTCAGGGTACACTTTGCCATGATTCTTTATTGGCAACATGGAATGCTTTCCTGGCTCTGTTCAGTGAGTGTGATCCCAGCTGGTGGTGGTAACACGCGAGCCCAGGATACATATAATATTTCCATGTGATCTTAGGCGTGTAAACAGCAACTTCTTAGGATCACCTAAGCTTCTTTCTTTTATTTTGCTCCAAAACAGAGGGTGAAGCGCAAAAACAGAGGGTGGAGGCCGAGCGGGAGGCCGAGCAGCGGAGGATAGCGGAGATTCTTCAGTACATGCAAAGTCTTGGCGCCGCTACGGGTGTAGTTCCGCCACCTTCGCTATTCGCTCCACCTCCACCTCCACCTCCTCACTATTCTACTCCTGTGAGTATAAATGTTTTAGTTTGTATGTTCATGCTTACGGTCAAACCTAGTGAAGTATGAAAGTTTTATTCATGTATGGTATATATTTATCTTGTCTCACACATGCAATCTCTTCTCCTTTGTGCAGAATCAATCGGTGGCATCGAACGATCCTTATGCTTCAGCGAATCCTTCACCAAATCAGTCTCATTGGCCATCTTGGTGATGATACTTGTGGTTGTTAATGTTACTTTTATTTGCAATTGTGGTTGTAGATGATGGAGCACTTGGATTACTTGTGAACTTATTTGTGATATATTGTGAGACATGTGACGTTTGTGATATATATGTGACGTTTGTGATATATATGTGGTGTTGGTGATATATATGTGATGTTGATGATATATATGTGATGTTGGTGATGTTTGTTATATATATCTTCTGTTTGTTTAGATGGGATGTAAAAAACAAATAAAAATGCTGTTTTCAGTCACTTTGCCGAGTGCAATGGCCATGACACTCGGCAAAGTGACTACCTGGGAACATGCTTTGCCGAGTGCAAAGGCCATTGCACTCGGCAAACATCACAGATTTGCCGAGTGCCACGGGCCAGGCACTCGGCAAAGGTCGCCTGTTTGCCGAGTGTCTTGACAGGACACTCGGCAAATAGGCTACCTTTGCCGAGTATCTTGCCGGTGGCACTCGGCACAGTGGCCACCTTTGTCGAGTGTCTGAGTCAACGGCGCTCGGCAAAGCGGCGATCTTTGCCGAGTGCTTAACCTTGACACTCGGTAAAGCCGCTGTCACGGTGGCGCTCGTCGTCACGGCGACTTTTCTTTGCCGAGTGCCCGATAAAGTGCACTCGGCAAAGAGGTCTTTGCCGATAAACTGTTTACCGAGCGCCCTTTGGCCTAAATCCAGTAGTGGTAGTCCTCTTGAGCCTTCATGAAAGTTGCCATTTCCCTTTCTCTAGGCTAATCTTCATGTTTATACCCTTTGCAAAATCGGCCTCCAAGAAACCTGAAAGTCAAAACAAAAAATCATAGAAAAGTAGTTTGGGGCTCTGAACGATAGTGGTGAGAGGCACAGTTTATTCATGGTGTGGGATGCTCAAGAAATCATGCCTCCATGGATCCTAAAATTTTTCTTTATATACTGACAGACAATGGATGAATGAAGGATCAGTGGAGAAACGTTTCAGCTGATATTAAGACTTTTATAGCAGCAGTCTGCAAACTTTATGGCGGCATTCTGCAAGTGCTTGGAAGGAGAGAGGACAAAAGGAGATGGGGAGACAGAACCGTGGCCACCAATGATTGCACATATTGATATGCATCTCGATGAGAATTGTATGGGTTAGACAATTTGATGATATGTGGAACAGTGTGATACAAGAAAGACCTTGTAGTGAGGTTTTGCTTTATAAGAAATATAGATATAGATAAGATTACACATCAGCAATGTTTACGTGACATAGAAATTAACTATGAGAAGAGAGATGAGATGAGTTTCATCTAGATTACGTGGCATAGGAATTGTGGGTTTTGTTTCATTTTAATCATGTACATGTCATTTTTAGAAACAATACAGTTAAATTTAGCACTAGTTTACAAAGGGGATGCCAAATTCAAGGTACTGACACTCTAGTTTGTTAAACCCCTCGACAGCATGCTCGATCTCCCAAATGCCCCATCGCCCAAGCACACGTACACTATTGGCCTCACGCTAGAAAAGATAGACTAGTACCGAGTACCAATGTGAGGGACACATAAACAAACACACTCTAAGCCAAGAACATCCAGCCACTCTCAGACTAACTACAGTCTACAGGCAACCTAACAGAAACCCTCTCAACAGAATCATCAGCCTCACGCAAAAAAAAAATGATGAGGTGGATCGGTGGATGATATGCCGGCCATACATTTTGTAGCGGAAAAGAAAAACTGTTGATGGCTTGATTGGATGTTCATGTATCCGCTCAATCCATGTTTATTGGGTGGGTTGGTGTGAAAGTGGAATACATATGGATTTAGAGGTTGATACGTGGATATCAAATAAGGTCTAAAGACATATATACGATCACGTGGGATTGCAAGTGGCAGTAGGTTACATGTACGGTTGATTAGATAGGATTGTAGAAGGAGAAAAGAAGTGAACATATGTAAGCTTTTCATGTACCAACCCAACCCCTCCAGCCACAGTAATATGAACCTTCTCATACGATGGGAATGGTTTCATAGCTAAGGTCACGTTTGGTAAGGCTTCCACCAGCTCTAGCTTCTCTGACGTATTCATTGTTCATGTACTATTCATAGGAACTCTTTTTCTCTCTCTTCTCTCTTTTCCTCTTATAGAGCCAGTGGAAGCAGGTAAAGCCAATTTTTTTTTGGCTTTACTCGCTTCCACTGGCTCTATGAGAGGAGGAGAGAAAAAAAGCGCCCTCCTCTCTTCTTCTCTCACAGAGCTCGTGGAAGCAGGTGAAACCAGTTTTTTTTTTTTGCTTCACTCGCTCCCACTGGCTATATGAGAGGAGGAGAGAGGAGAAAAAAAAAGCTGCTATTAATAGTACATGAGCAGTTAATACGTTAGAAAAGCTAAGGCCCTCCACAATGTATGCCTAAGTGATGCCCAAAAGAAGTGAGAGATGATTTTAGCACTGCTCGTCCCCATTGCAGCAGGCGGTTCCAATTGCATGCGATGCCGAGAAAACAAGGAGCGGAGCAAGTAGTTGCGCCGGTGCCCAAATCAATAAAAAACCAGTATTGTACTGTTGCTGTGAGACTGCAGCCAGCACTCTGCTGTTGTTGTCAGATTGTTGATAGAAGATAAAAAACGCGCTACTTTTTCTGGCATCACTTTTACACGCTGCAGCCTCAAACTCAACCAAGCATCACTGTGAGCTTGCATACGTGAACAGTATCGGGCACCGCTCACACTGTGGAGGGCCTAAAGCCGGCTGGAGCTCTTCCAAACGGCCTAAAAAGGTACTAGTGTGCAGTTATGCAAATGAATTCAGAAAGACGCAGCAGACTTGTACGTGGACCAACAAAGTAGTACGGAGTAATAATCTCAACTTATCCATAGGCCCTTGGGCGACACCGAATCGAACGTGGACAGCATGAAGATTATTATCTCAATCTCATGCGTCCACCGACACCGCGGTGACTGCCGCTCCCGCTTGTATGATCCGTCCCTCCACGTCATCCAGTCCTTCTCTTCGGCCTGGTAGGGCGTCGCGCTCCACTCCTGGACCGAGCTCGACGAACCCACAGTCCCTGTACCTAAAAAACTACGGCCCACGGGCCTCCGGACGTGTGGTACAGGTGCTTCCGTGGTGCAGGTGCCTCCGCTCAGTTGCGACGCGTTTTAATAGGGCCGTGTCCGCAGGCCGCAGGCCGCTTGCCCCATGGCCCATGGTGATTTGAGAGTAACCACTAACCAGCCATTCCGGACCCAAAGATTCTGTCGACCACAATATGGCGCCAACACCACCTCACCTCGTGACTGTGCTGGAGCAGTTTCACGTCGCGCCGACACCGGCACCGGCGGCGGGGCAGCCACGAGCGCTACCGCTCACGTTCTTCGACCTCGTCTTCTGGTCCATCCCGCCCGTGCAGCGTCTGTTCTTCTACGACAATGCCAACCTCCTCGACGTCTCCGACTTCACGCTCGGCGAGCTGCCACGGTTTAGGAACTCCCTCGCCGCCGCGCTGCACCACTTCTATCCGTTGGCGGGGAAGCTGACGTGCGAGGTCGCCGAGGGCGTAGCGCCACCGGAGCTAGTGTTCTCGGACGGCGACTCCGTCCCGCTAACCGTGGCCGTCAGCGGCGACGACTTCCGAGACCTCGCCGGCGACCACGCCCGCGACGCCACGAGGCTCCGCCCAGGCGCCCACTGCTCCCCGCGCTGCCAAAGCACGGCGGGTCTCGGTTGCAGCAGGGTATCCTCGCCGTCCAGATTACGGTGTTCCCCCGTGCCGGCATTTGCATCGGCACGACGGTGCACCACGCCGTGGCCGACGGCGCCAGCTACACTCACTTCCTCAGCACGTGGGCTGCCGCCCACCGCCTCGGCCACAAGGGCAATAGGGCGGTGGCGATGGACATGCCCCCGCTGTTCGACCGCGGCGTCGTGCGGGACGACGCCGGTCTCCGGGAGGCGTTCCTGCGCGACCATCGAGCGCTCGGTACAGCCGGCGGCTACGAGCCCCTCGACGACTGGGACCTCAGTCGCCGCCCTGGCGTCGTGCTCGCCACGTTCCGGTTCACCGAGAAGCAGCTCCGCGCGCTCGAGAGGCACGCCGAGTCGGAGACCTCGACGCGGTGCTCACCCAACGCGCTGGCCTGCGGCGCCGCGTGGGCCGGCATCGTGCACGCGCGTGGCAACGGCTGGGGCTTGGAAGGGGCTCCGGCACCCGACGCGCACTTCGGGTTCGTGACGGGTGTATGTTGGCCCACAGAATCACCGGCTCAGGTGAGTGAACCACTCACCAGTCTTGCCGAGCACCCGCTAGTGTTGCCGAGCACCCACTAGCCGTGTCGACCACGAACAGGCGTTGTCCGTCCCCCACACTATGGCTGGAGCTAGAAGAAGAAGGGAGAACAGACCATGCACGCACAATACAAGACACCAGCGTTGACCGAAGCCCTGTCTGTGAGATGGCAAATCTGAACTCTCTTTACTGAGTTGCCATGGTAGTCTATTTATACAACTCTATCCATCTAGTACCAGTACAGCGCACATGCTGTAACAGTAACTAGATAACATACAGGGCTGACTCTGCGCCGGTCACTGCATGTGCCTACAGTGCTGCAGGTGAGCCGTGCGGCGCCTGCACCTGCAACGGCTACAGTATCACATCAGGGGGCCTTTCGGCGCTGCCTTCCCTTGCTGTGTTCACACAAGGTAGCAGTATATTATCTAACAATCTTCCCCTAATCCTACTGCTAACCCTTGTACCCCCTCCATGCCGATCATCTCCTTCAGCTCCGTGAGTCGAAGACGTCCGAGCGGCTTGGTGAGAACGTCCGTGAGTTGCCGACCAGTTTTGATGAACTCGATGACGATCTGCCCTCCATCGACACAGTTCATGAGGAAGTGGAACTTCACGTCGATTTATTTACTTCGGTCGTGCAGAACCGAATTCTTCGCGAGGACGATGGCGGGCTGGTTGTCCACCATCAGTGCTGGTGGGTGAGCTTTCACGCCGGTCAGCTCGTCCAGCAGCCGACGTAGCCACACAACTTGGCATGTCGCTGTGGCCGCCGCTACGTACTCTGCCTCGCACGTAGATAGCGCCACCACCTTCTGTTTTAGCGACAGCCATGAAATTAGGGCCGACCCGAGGAAGACGAGCACGCCAGAGGTGCTCCGTCGTCCGTCGATGTCCCCCGCCATGTCTACATCGCTGAACACAGTGAGCTGCAGCCTACTCCCGCCAGTCTTTGGGAAGATGATCCCATGATCCACCGTCCTCTTGACGTAGCGCAGTAGTCGCTTCACCGCAGCCCATTGATCCTCTCTGGGATCCTCCATGGAGCGACTGATGTCGCCCACGGCGAACGCAATGTCCAACCTCATGTGGACTAGGTAGCGCAGACCGTCGATGATGCTCCGGTAGAGTATCGCATCCACCTGCGCCGCGGTGCTGGCCTTCGTCAGCTTCAGCCGCTCCTCCATCGGAGTCACGCATGGCTTGCACTCAGCCATGCCGCTCCTCTCCAACAGCTTGGAGGCATACGCGCTCTGACCAAGCGTGAGTTCTTTCTTCCCCTGTCTCACCTCGATGCCGAGGTAGTAGAAGAGTGCGCCGAGATCGCTCATTCGAAAACGAGCCGCCATCTCACGCTTGAAGCTGTTGATATCATCCGTACGCGCGCCGGTGATGATTAAGTCATCCACATACACGCCAACGATGAGCTCCTCCTTCCTCTATCGCCGTGTGTAGAGCGCATGCTCAGTTGCACACCATTGAAACCCAAGCTCGCCCAGCGTGGCGTCAAGCTTGGCGTTCCATGCTCGAGGGGCCTGCCGTAGCCCATAGAGCGCCTTGCGCAGTCGGAGCACCCTGTGCTCCTCTCCCTTGATGGTGAAACCTGGAGGTTGTCTGACGAAGACCGTTTCCACTAGCTCGCCGTTGAGGAAGGCCGATTTAACGTCCAAGTGATGGACGCGCCAGTCCTTTGCTGCTGCCAAAGCAAGTAGCAAACAGACCGACTCCATGCGCACTACTAGTGCGAAGACCTCCTCGAAGTCTATGCCCTCGCGCTGAATAAAGCCTCGGGCGACGAGGCGCGCCTTGTGCTTGACAATGGCACCGAGCTCGTCCCGCTTGACCTTATACACCCACTTCAAGCTGATCGGACGACATCCTAGAGGTGGATCGACAAGCTGCCAAGTCTCGTTTTCTTCGATCGCCTTCATCTCCTCCAGCATCATCCGTTGCTAGTTTCCATCGTGCTTGGCCAGCGCGAACGTGGGTGGTTCCTCAGCACTGACGTGTAGCAGCTCTGTGTCATTGAGTAGCCTACCCGCCAAGCATGAGGGATCTGTGCCACCGATGATGTCGTCCAGCCTACAGAACTGCACCTCCTCACCTTCGTGGAAGGCATCCATGAACTCAGTAATGTCACTTGGAGGTGAGGCCAACTCGATCGGCGTCGATGGAGTTCCCTGTTTCGCCGGAGTGCTTGGCAGAGCACCTTGAGTGCTTGGCACCCTGGTTGCAGTGCTTGGCACTACTTCTGGACAGCTCGTCATAACTCCTGCAGTGTTTGTCCACACTGTAGGAGTGCCCTGACTCAGTCTTGGAGTGGTCGACACCACTATAAGACGTCTTGGCTCCACCATGAGAGTGCTCGGCACCCGTCCTAGAGTGATCGCCACCACTATAGAACCTCCCGGCACCACTCCTGGCGTGCTCGGCATCCCTCCAGAAGTGCTCGGCACTCCTCCCAGAGTGCTCGGCATCCCTCTTGAAGTGCTCGGCACTACCCCAGGAGTGCTCGACTCTACCGCCGGAGTGCTCGGCACTCCTGCTAGAGTGCTTGGCACCTCTTCCCTAGCGTCTCCACCACCGTGGATGACCAAGTGCTCGACGATGAAGGTGTTGGTGAAGCTGCCAGCTTCCCCCGTGCTCGGACTGCTCCAGTCCCAAGCCACCTCCTCATCGAACACAACGTCGCGTGAGACAAGCACCTTGTCTCTGCATGGGTCATAGAGCTGGTACGCCTTGGTACCCTCAACATAGCCTAGGAACACCATCGGTGTGCTCCTGTCCTCTAGTTTCATGAGGTTTGGCTTCGTCTTCCTGACGTGGCCGATGTAGTCGAATGTCCGGAGGAAGGACACGCTCGGCTTGCGCCCATACCAAGCTTCGAACGGCGTCTTGCCCGTTAGGGCCTTGGTCGGAGCGCAGTTGAGGATGAACACCGCAGTGGTCACCGCCTCACCCTAGAACCTTGCCGGCATGCCTTTGGCCTTCATCATGGATCAGACCATGCCGACCACCGTTATATTTCGTCGCTCCATCACGCCATTCTGTTGTGGCGAGTATGGCGCGGTGTGGTGTTGCTCCACACCCTGATCCGCGTAGTACGCGGCGAACTCCACCGAAGTGAATTCACCACCGCGATCAGTCCTCAGCACATGGAGCTTCTTGCCGCTCTCGGCCTCCGCGTGTGTCTTGAACTTCTTGATCGTCGCTGTTGCTTCATCCTAGCTCGTCAGGAGTTGCAGCAACATGTAGCGACTGCAATCATCCATGAGCAGGAGGAAGTACCGCCAACCACCGTTTGTAGCAGGCGTGATCGGCCCGCAGAGGTCGCCGTGAACGAGCTTGAGAGCGTCCTTCGCGCGATACTTGGCCGCCTTTGGGAAAGGTATCCTCCTCTGCTTCCCGGACAAGCAGCTGTCACATAGCTCGCCTCCGTGCTTGATGTGGGGTAGCCCTTGGACCATCTTCTCTAGCCGACCAAGCGCGTCGAAGCTGAGATGTCCGAACCGGGCATGCCACATCCACGGTTCCTTGGAGTGCCTTGCCGCTAGGCACACCGGCTGCTCTACCTTTAGGTCAAGCAGGTACAACCGGTTCAGGGACCTCTTCACCTTGGCAAGAAGTCGCTGCTCCCGATCCCTGATCCTAAGGACTCCGTCCTTGATCAGTACCTCACTACCGTGCTCATCCAGCTAACCAATGCTGATGATGCTGGAACGCAGCTATGGGATATAATATACATCCGTTAGTGCGCGGTGCTCCCCGTTCTAGCATCTGAAGATAATGGTGCCGCTCCCTTGGATAGCCACCCTTGAGCCGTCACCAAACTTCACCGTACCGATAACATCACCGTCGAGCTTGGAGAAGGATGCCTTGAAGCCCGTCATGTGGTTACTAGCACCAGAGTCCAGATACCACCGCTGCTCCTGGTCGGCGCCCACACGTTCGAGGTGAACTTGGGCGCGTGGTTCGTCGAGGTTGACGGTCTTCAGGGCCTTCCTAGGTCCTTCCACCATCGTCGCCTCTTCCCTCTTCTCGACCTTGACGTTGTGTAGTACACAGAACGTCGCCATCAGGATAGTGGCCTCATCCTCATCATCGGCTTGCGCCATATGAGCCTGAGGCTTCTTCTCCTGCTTGCGATTTAGGCACTCCCGTGCCTAATGGCCTATCTTCCAACAGCGTCAACAGGCGTTGGGGTCGACCTACTTCTTCTCCGAAGAAGCCTTGCCACGACGCTTGCCATCGCCACCACGGCTGGAGGAGGCTGCCTTCCCGGAGTTCCTCCGAGCAACTCACTCCTCTTCCGTCAGTAGGAGTTTCCCGCTATCCTTCGTTGCTATCGCTTGCTCTAGGCACTCGTCCACCGCCTGCAGATGGCCTGTCACATCCTCAATGGTGAGGGTAGACAAGTCCAGTATCGTCTCTATGGAGAGAGCGATATGGATGTACTTTGCCGACATGGAGTGGAGGTACTTAGAGACCACCTCCTCTTCGTCGATGGTGATGCCGTGGCTCTTCAGCTTGCTGATGAGCGTCTGCAGGCGGAGGGAGAAGTCCACCATTTCACCATCCTTGAACTTGACATTGGCGTGCTCCTGCTTCAGAAGCTGGGCCGTCGCCTTCTTTGCGCGGTCAGAACCGACGCATATCGCCGCAATAGCCTCCCACGCCTCTTTAGCGGAGCTCTTCGCCCCAACGGCTCCCTGTACTCCATCGGTACAGCAGCGAGGATAGCCTCCAACGCTGACATGTCATCTTCCTCATTGTCGGTGCCCTTGTCAACAGCATTCCAGAGTCATCGGGCTCTGAGCTTGACCTTCATGGTCACCGACCACTCTCCATAGTTTGTGCGAGTCAGCGTCGGCCAACTGGTGCTGCTGATCTCCCGCACCGTGCGAACAACGACCTCCGGTCGTGGCTGGGTAGCCACAACAGTGCCACTGTTGTCACCCATTTCCGAACCGCCCGTCATCGCCAGCGGTTAGTCTGGCGACGGCGCTTGTACGGCTCTGATACCACTTGTTGGCCCATAGGATCACCGGTTTAGGTGAGTGAACCACTCACCAGTCTTGCCGAGCACCCGCTAGTGTTGCCGAGCACCCACTAGCCGTGCCGACCACGAACAGGCGTTGTCCGTCCCCACACACTGTGGCTGGAACTAGAAGAAGAAGGGAGAACAGAGCATGCACGCACAATACAAGACACCAGCATTGGCCAAAGCCCTGTCTGTGAGATGGCAAATCTGAGCTCTTTTTACTGAGTTGTCGTGGTAGTCTATTTATACAACTATATCCATCTAGTCATAGTACAATGCACATGCTGTAACAGTAACTAGATAACATACAGGACTGACTCTGCGCCGGCCACTGCATGTGCCTACAGTACTGCAGGTGAGCCGTGTGGCGCCTGCACCTGCACCTGCAGCGGCTATAGTATCACAGCAGGGGGCCTTTCGGTGCCGCCTTCCCTTGCTGTGTTCGCATGAGGTAGCAGTAGATTATCTAACAGTGGCAAGCCCCGCGCGAGCCCGCCGATACTGGCGAACTACTTCGGGAACTGCCTTGGTCTCTGCCGCGTCCACTCAAAGTGGGAGCTCACCACGGCGACCGCCTCGGTAGCCATATAGCGAGCGATCGAGGGGCTTGCCGAGGAAGGGAGCGTGTTCCGGGGATCTCAGGGGTGGGTGCGCTGGGTACGGGAGTACGCTTCGGCGCGGGTGGTGACCATGGCCGGGTAGCCGAAGCTGGGCATGTACGCGGGCACGGATTTCGGTGGGGTGTGGGGCAGGCCGACGAAGGTGGAGATCGCATACGTGGAACGCACGGGCGCGTTGGCGCTGGCGGAGAGCTGCCGTGACGGGCACGGCGACATCGAGGTCGGTCTGGCACTGCCGCGCGTCGAGATGGAGGCGTTCCGTACATTCTACCTCGACGGCTCGACCTGTTGACCAGCCTCGGTTGATTCTCACATGCAAGTGGGCCATGTTGCGGACAGCCCGCGTGGTGCCGCAATGGTCGCAACTAAAGATTTGCGGGCTCAGTGGACGTCCACTTGCTAAAGCAAGCAAGCCCGCGTGCTCCTGCAGGCTTGGCCATGGAGCCTGCAAAGCCTAGCTGAGCCCGCCGCAGGCAGGGTAATCCTAGCAGAGCCATGATCATTCCCCTAAAAAAAAGCGAGCCATGATCGTTTTTGTTTCTATTTGCTAAGAAACTCCAATCAGATCTCCATCGTTCAGGAAGACATAATTGCCCACCTCAAGCTCAATGGCACTTCTGCCATTCATTCTTTTCACAAAAATGTTCCCTTAACTTAAATAATTGTTACTTCACAAATGGAAATCAAAACTACAAGAAGAAACAGTGAACACTAGATGCAGCACATATAAGACCAGAACCAGTGAAGCTAAGGATGCTGATGTGAATCATTTGAACATAGGCACTCTCTAGGAAATTATAACTACAAAGTTGTACTGCCATCCTGCAAAATGTAGGCAATGACTAGAGCAGTCACATAAAAATCAGCTCATATTTTCAGTAGTTTCTGCACAAGTAGATGAAGTTGTTGATGCTGTAAGGTCCATGGCGCATTGTGACACATAAGGCTTCAGTTGCAATCATTCACACATGACATCTGATTCATGAGAAAATGCAGGCAAAGATTGAAACTCAACTCAGCTTAGCCACATAACAGGTTATACCGTTATTGATAATAATTGTCCATCTTCAGGCCTCCTCCTTCCAAGTCCTAAACTCACCTTTGCTACGGTAAAAATATCATATTATCAACGCAAATTTTTTGACACAACTATTTTGCGGGGTTGGCATTTGCAACGACTTTCTTATTATCACAGGTTTGCACTTTTAAGTTTTAACCTAAATTGGGCCACAACCCACAGGTGCTCCAAGCTCCAAATGCTGAATAATATCACAAGTAGCTATGACATCTAGATAATATCTTGATTAAACAGCATGACATTCTGAATACCCAGAAATTCACGCATAGCTATGACGTACAAATATAATATCTTGAATAAACAGCATGACATCCAGGTAGACCAAGTCCTTATGTAAAAGATAAATTCACAGGCACGCAACTGTTGATTGTGAAGGAGATCATGTAGCTATGTACAATGTATGAATTCACAATCATGCAATTTATCTGAATTGTTTGAAGTATATATACATTCACTAGTTCAGCAAAACATTCTCTAACAAGGTAAAACAAAACAAGGGAATTCTGAATATTCAGTAAAGGAACACAAATATAGGATACAAACAGATGAATGAGAATGACAAGTTCAACCTCAAATTGTTGCTAATTGCATGGCTGCTAGACAACTTTCAAGCATATACTGACTGAGTGAAAAAAAGTTTTGTTGGTCGCGTGCGTGTTCCTATTACAAGTCAGAAAAAAAAACTCTTTTCCGCCTCTGACTAACTATTAGTAATGTAATCAACCATTTCATAAAACTCAACCTATCATAAACGACGCAGCATGGATCCACATTCTACATCGAGCCTCGGATATTACCAACTAACCAATCAGTCTAAGTATAAAGTAACCAATAAGCACTGACTAAGCATATTCTAGTTCCTTTTCTAGGACAAACTTATTCTGTTTTTCTATTGAAAACTTGCAAAATCTAAACACCTATATTTGACCCATTGTGGTAGCCGTCTCAACTCTCAAGAGTATAATATTGAACAAGTCCTAGTTTGAGAATGCTGTATCACATTGAACAAGTCCTATTTAGCTATTGAACTATTAGACTTGCTCAGTAGCCAAGTCCATTAGTTCATAGTCTTGGCTACTGAGCTAGTCTAACCTGATTGTGTGGTTCAGCAAAAGAAAGGCTTAGCTCTTGACGGCTAATAGTTCAACAGCTAAATTGCATGCCAAACAGCTGACTGAAACCTTTGCTAAAGAAATGTTTGTGTTGAACTCAGGCATTCGGTAACTACCCAACAGACATATGAACCTAATTAGCTTTACTAATCTTTCAGACATTTCTCCTCTCTAAATATAAACAATCCCTTGATTATCATTAGATATTTTTCACTTTCCTGTTAAAATCCGAGGAACAAAATAGAACCAAAAAAACTGACATTTGATATGCACAAGGGACAAATGAATAAGGCACAGCAAGCTACCATCGCAATCACCAACTACTAGCTGTAAATCCCATTTTTATTTCCCACACAGCCACACTACACACATTGCAGCACATACCAACTTATCCCAAGCAAACTGACATGTCTATCTCCTAAGGATTATTTACAATGCAGCACAATTATGCCAAAAACATATTTATTAATGAAGCACTAGCTGCATGAACATAAAGATAGAAATGGCAGATCTTAACAGAAAGATAGAAATGGCGGACCTTAACAGTTACTAGACATGTATTAGAGATTTATAGTCAGTTGCTATCCAAAGTGTCAATTGCTATGGTGTCTAAAGATCCTACAATATATGATCAATTGATATATGTTACAAGTATTAGAGATATGCACAGCCTATTGATATGTTACAAGTATTAGAGATAAGCACTGGCAATTGACATGTTACATGTATTAGAGATATAATTGAACGAAATTAAAAGCATTGCTTACCAGCCGCTTGAAGCCAGTCCTGAAAGCATATTAGAAGAGCAGGTTAAGCATAACAATGCACGGAGTAAGGAACAGCAAATACTGGTTCATATACGTACATAAACAGAAACCAAACCTATAGCAAGCTAATTAGGCTACTCCTGGTTCATACTTCATACTATACATCAACCTAGCAAATTCGGGTTCACACATAGTCCATGCATAAGATCACAATGCAGCTAAACGAGACAAAAGAAGGCCGCGCAACAAAATGCTATGATCCCAGTAATTCCATAGCATGCCCGGGTCAGACGCCCATGGCAGGCATGTACGGGGCGGCGGCATCCGGCTCCGGCACGGTGGCATCACCCGTAGTTGTAGCCAGCGCTACCACCATCTACTTCTGGAGCTCCATTCTCTCCATCGTAATCTCCCTGTACATCTTGGTCGCCTCCTTGAACATCTCGGACAGCTTCACCACCACTGCCATGTCAATGGACTCCGTGGCAACGACCTCACCCAGCGCGGCAGCCATTTCCGCCACGGTGGCAGCGAAACCACCGGCTGGCGCTCGTTCCTCGTCCACACAAGAGCGGCGCACATTCACCTCGCGCACTAGCTCCTCCTTAACGGAGGGCGATGGCTTTCGGCCCTGGATCTCCCACATGGGTGAACCGACCACTCACCGGCGTTGTAGACCACACGCTATCGCTAGAGATAGAAGAAGAGAGGGAGAACAGAGTGCACACACATATAGCACAAGCACCAGCATTACCGGAGCTCTGCAGAGGAGATAGCAAAATTGAACTCGCACACTTTACTGAGTTGTAGTGGGAAGCTATATATATAACTCTACCCATCTAATCCTAGTGCACAGACATGTCAGGCTATCATGCTGCTACAATGACTAGATGTGACAGCAGGGCTAACTTTGGCCCCTGCCCCTGCTATGTGTACAGTGTGGCAGGTGAGCCTTTCGGTGTCTGCCCCTCCAGCTGCTACAGTGCAATAGGGGAACCCTTTCAGCGCCTACCCCTACCACGCCGTAGAGAGGAGAGCAACAGATTACTTAACAATTATTTCCCTAATCCTGCTGCTAACCCTAGAACCTCCACCATGCCGATCATCTTCTTCAGCTTCATGAACCGAAGATGGCCGAGCGGCTTAGTGAGGATGTCCGAGAGTTGCCGACAAGTTTCAACGAACTCGATGACGATATGCCCTCCATCGACACAATCCCTGAGGAAGTGGAACTTGACGTCGACGTGCTTGCTCCGATCATGGAGAACCGGATTCTTCACGAGGGCGATGGTGGGCTAGTTGTCCACCATCAGTGCTGGTGGGTGAGCTTCCACACCGGTCAGCTCACCCAGCAGTCGGCGCAGCCACACAGCTTGGCACGTCACTGTGGTTGCCGCCACGTACTCTGTCTCGCACGTGGACAGTGCCACCACCTTTTGTTTCAGCGACAACCATGAGATTGGAGCCGACCCGAGGAAGACGAGCGCGCCAGAGGTGCTCCACCATCCGTCGATGTCCCCCGCCATGTCTGCATCACTGAATATAGTGAGCTACAACCCACTTCCACCGATCTTGGGGATGACGATCCCCTGATCCACCGTCCCCTTGAAGTAGCGCAGCAGCCGCTTCACAACAGCCTAGTGATCCTCTCGGGGATCCTCCATGAAGCGGCTGACGTAGCCCACAGCAAACACATTGTCTAGACTCGTGTGGACTAGATAGCATAGACCGCCGACGATGCTCCGGTAGAGTGTTGCATCTACCTTCACCATGGTACTGGCCTTCGTTAGCTTTAGCCGCTCCTCCATCGGAGTCACGCATGGCTTGCACTCAGCCATGCCGCTCCACTCCAACAGCTTCGAGGCGTACGCGCTCTGACCGAGCATGAGCACCTCCTTCCCCTGTCTGACCTCGATGCCGAGGTAGTAGGAGAGCACACCGAGATCGCTCATTCGAAAACAAGCCGCCATCTCGCTCTTGAAGCTGTCGATGTCCTTCGCCCGTGCGCCGGTGACGATCAAGTCATCCACATACACGCCGACGATGAGATCCTCCTTTCCCCGTCGCTGCGTGTAGAGCATGTGCCAAGTTGTGCACCGCGTGAACCCAAGCTCGCCCAGCGTGGCGTCAAGCTTGGCGTTCTACGCTCACAGAGCTTGCCGTAGCCCGTAGAACGCATTGCGCAATCGGAGCACTCTGTGCTTCGCTCCCTTGATGGTGAAACCCAGAGGTTGCCTGACAAAGACTATCTCCGCCAGCTCACCATTGAGGAAGGCCAATTTTACTTCTAGGTGATGGACGCGCCAGTCCTTCGCTGCTGCCAAAGCCAGCAGCA